CTAGAGAGCCGCAGTCCTGCAGAGTTCAGCTCCAACCCTAATCAAACACACCTGAACAAGCTAATCAATGTCTTCAGGATTACTAAAGCTATAGGCAGGTGAGTTTTTTTTTCAGGGTTGGAGCTGAACTCTGCAGGACTGCGGCTCTCTAGGACCGAACTTGCCTACCCCTGGTCTAGCCTGTAAAATAAGCTTTTTAGCGCTGTTTGAACATAAGAAACTACATTCATGGGGCAGTTCATTTCAGATTTTGTTGCTGATTTGAAATATGTAATTTAATTGTGAGTTCATAGGGCAGTTTTTGAGATTTCAGGATTCCCCCATTCATTTAGATAGGACTTGGTCTTGTTTGAGCTGCCCGGAGGCGTTGCAGATATGGCTGCCGAGTGAACAGACTTTCCTTGAATGGGACTTTGATTATACTCTGTGTCATTTAAATGTGTCACAAATGTAATATTTGTTGAACAAAACAGTGGGAACTGTACCACTGGTGAGCTGTACTACATAAACACATTAAAGGGATAGTTCACCCAAAAGTGAAAATTCTGTCATTAATTACTCACCCTGTAAGACCTCCGTTCATCTTCAGAACACAAATTAAGCTATTTTTGATGCATTCTGAGAGCTCTCTGACCCTCCCATAGACAGCAATGTAATACGATCAACATCCAGAAACGTAGCAAGGACATCGGTAAAATAATCCATGTGACATCAGGGGTTCAACCGTAATTTTACGAAGCTACAAGAATACTTTTTGTACGCAAAGAAAACAATAATAACGACTTTATTCAACAATTCGTCTCCTCCGCGTCACCCTAGCGCCATTTTGGAGAGTATCCACTGAACGTAAACGGTGTATGCTGTTCTGTGTCAGCTGCGCCACGCGGATACGTTTTCTACGTTTATTTACGCTTTGATTTGAACGAAAACAACGTATCGACATAATGACAGAATTTTAATTTTTGGGTGAACTATCTATTAACTAACAGCCCTAATAATTAGTAATTCTGTATAACTAGTGGTGTTATTGTCATCATTGGCTGTGATTGTTGTGTGTGTTGGGCAGGTGTTCAGCGATATGACTGTTGGAGAAGGTGAGATGGTATGTGTGGAGCTGGTGGCCAGTGACAAAAGCAACACATTCCAGGGCGTCATCTTCCAGGGCTCTATCCGCTACGAGGCCCTAAAGAAGGTCTATGATAACCGGGTATGTTTCCTTTTACATTTGTCCAAACATTTGTTACATTTGCTTCTGGTGTGTATTTCATAGTACGTTTTTATAGGTAAGTGTGGCAGCTAAGATGGCCCAGCGGATGTCATTCGGCTTCTACAAATACAACAACATGGAGTTTGTGCGGATGAAAGGTCCTCAGGGGAAAGGTCATGCTGAGATGGCTGTGAGTCGAGTGCCCACTGGAGACACCTCACCCTGCGGCACTGAAGAGGACCAAGACTCCCCTCTTCACGAGAGGGTCAGTTAAACCCATTTTCTGTTCCCAATTGATTAGACATTTTCAAGTGATGCACAAATACTGAACCATTTGCATTTGTTCTCTGCATTGAAATGATGTAACTACATATGATGTAATTAATTTAGTTTTTAAAGGGGTCATATGATGTTGCTAAAAAGAACATGATTTTGTGTATTTGGTGTAATGAAATGTCTATGCGGTTTAAGGTAAAAAAACCCCATTATTTTCCACATACTGTACATTATTGTTTTTCCTCTATGCTCCGCCTTTCTGAAACGCGTCGATTGGCCAGCTATCTAGTGCGTTGTGATTGACCGAATACCTCAAGCGTGTGACGGAAATGTTAAGTCACACACGGTGGCTAGAATGAGCTGCGGCCAGCAGGCTTGAGAACGGCTCGGCCGGCGGAGTCGACGAAGGATTGGCCGGCGGGCTTGCGGGAACCACATGTGACGACCCCGGGCTGGACTCCGCTTCATCCACGGTGAAAGCCGATCCGGCGATCCACAGCGCGAAGTTGATGTATTTCCTCAGCGACCAGCACGGATCAGCTCTAGGCATGACGAAGCGGATATCGTCCTCTTTTGGAAGGCCAAACAAAATAGTTTTGCTTTCACAACGAAACACAGAATACTATACTACAATACTACAGCGAGAATAAAAGTTACGCCTTCTTTCTTTGCGTGAACATTTGGATGGCGTTATGCAAATCTTCCCACATCGTGACGTAGACATGTGGGGGCGTGTTTAAACGAGGCGTTTTAGGTAGGCATGGTTGACTCTTAACTTTTATAAAGAATATCTCTTTGGATTTGAGACTTTAGTCTTTGCAACTTTACAGATCTTCTTTATGCACCAAGAGCTTGTAACACTTCAAAGAGAAAGGAAAAATTGAAATCGCATCATATGACCCCTTTAAAGTAATCGATAGCCCTGTTTTCCTCATAGGTGACATCATTTAGCACTCCCCCGACCCCGGAAAAAAACAGGCCCTCCTTCTTCTCACCATCACTCCGCCGGAAAGTGCCCAGAAACCGAATAGCTGAGATGAAGAAATCACACTCAGCAAATGACAGTGAGGAGTTTTTCAGAGAAGAGGATGATGAAGGTACACAGACATACTGGGACAGTACTCGCTTTTAACAATATTGAACAGTTTTAAATGCTGCATGTCTAAAATTTATATTTACAAAATACGAAGCCCCACACATGACATGCACAAAAAAAGTAAATTGGTGGAACAGATGTGTTTTTGAAACATGAAATTATAATTTGTGCCCTTGTTTTAAGTAAATTGTGTGCTCAATATAATAATTCGTTCCTTCGTTTTAAATAAAATTGTGCGCATGAACTAGCAATTCATTCTACTTCCTGTCCATATTCTCTCTGATGTAGATGCCTATATCTTTTAAAATGATTCCATGCAATGCTGCAAGGCTTTTGAGAATGCGTGTATAACTCATTCCCAACTCAAAATAAAAGTTAAAATTTAAAGTGTCTCTGTCAGTAACATAACATAACATAACAGCAGCAACAGGTTTATGAAAATGTGGACAGGAAGTGGAAAGAATTATTCTTTTGAGTGCACAATTTACTTCAAACAAGGGACCGAATTATTATATTGTGCACACGATTTACTTAAAACGAGGGACCGAATTATTATATTGTATATTAAAAATATGTATACAGTTTTGAAGGGGGAAAAGCATTCCTTCCTTGCAACAGTGATAGTTTCAGTTTTGAAGTGAAATTAAAGGTGCTTTCCTCTTTCCTCAGACTTGTGCAACGCCACAAACTTGCGCTCCCGGTCTCTGTCAGGAACGGGGAGTTCACTGGTCGGTTCTTGGCTCAAGCTGAACAGAAAAGAAGAGTATTTTCTGTTATATTCCCATCTCACCTACGTGACTCTTCCTTTGCATCGCATCACCACAGGTACAGCACACCTGCCCTCCATGCATCTGTTAGCCGTGAATTGTAGTGGCTAAGTGGCTCCATTGTTTCTTTTTTAGATATTCTGGAGGTGAGACAGAAGCCCATTTTGATGACATAACATTTACTGACCCCTCAAAATCCATGTTACCAAGTGCCTCCTCACATCAGGCCCCCGAGGAACCGCCGTGTGGCGTACGGACAGATAACCAAAAACTATGAACAATACGCAAGAGTGAACGAGAAGCGGAGAAGGGAAACCTAAGGAACAAACTCCATCAAGAAGTGCCTCTTCCACATGTTCTTCAGAGAGACGGCCTCCAGAATGGCTCGAGACCTGGAACTAAAGTGGCACTAGACTGTGACGCTAAAGGGAAATGTTTATTGGGAGATGAAACCCAATAAATGAATGTCGTTCTTGTAAATACACTGCTGCTTAGATACTCAGTGAACTGTACCGACCACAGCCGTCTCCCTTCAACCTTCCTTCAAGAGACACTCATAGGTTTCATGATATTACTGATTTTGTGTGTAGTATATTTTCCAAAGGACGTTTCCTCGCAGCTCTAGGCCTTAATACTTCGCTAACCAGCTAATCTATATCAAACGTCGTCCTTTTGCTAGCCCATTGCTGAGTGAATCGCAAATGTCCTCCTGTACTTACACGACTGTCTGTTACTTGATATGTTCGAGGGGATTTCTGATTTCCAAATACTAGTGAACATGACGTATCTCCTGATAAGACTCTTGTTTCGTAGGCCGTTTCCGGTAGATGGATGATGACACCACCTGAGCACAGTTCTTGGAAACATCTCCTTCCACAAAGACACTTGAACATGACACTAGATCACATGATCCCACCCAGCAGACGTTGCTTTTTTGATTTTTGGGTTTGTTCTCCGCCGTGTTTCTTCAAGTTAGGTGACTGTCGTCTTTGAGTTTCAGTTTTGAGAACTCTTTTGCACTAAAGGGCTTTTGGAGTTGACACGTATCGCCAACCCAAAGTGTCAGTATTATTTAGTTTTGTACGTGTGTATCAGCAGAATGTAATAACTGATCCGACAGCTTTAATATCTATTTAATATTTGATAGGCAGATTTGCCAGCAGCATTTGAAGATGTTGTTCGAACTATTTTAAGACCCTAGTCTTCAGTTTTATTTCATTCTTTGCTTTAGGTGCAAAGCTTCAGTGGAAGGCTGTTTTTAAGGAAGTCCGACGCTTTACATGCGCTTTTGTATCAAGTGGTAATTTAGCAGTAAATGTGCATGGTGTCGTATTCATGTTGTAATATATATATACACCTTTTCTGTACATCTTTATGAAAATACACATTATAAAAAAGTTTTTGTTCAAATTTATTGCCCAGTTACTAAATGTCTTTTGTGGGATATCATACAAATTCTTGGAGATTGCAAAACTTTGTAGGATCACCTTTATTTATATAGGGCTACGGACTGCTTCAAAGGAAACACCAGATGCAAACTTCTTCAAATATGAGACAAATTCAAATTCTGCTGCTCTAAAACTATATTATAGTGTTATTATTTAGTTCAAGTCACTATAGTGTTGATTCCGTTCAATAACTGTAAAGTTCAGTATAATTTATACTTAAGTATATTTATTCTTAATTTATACAATTTTGGGTAAAAATAATTGATTTGGCCTCTACATTATGGAGGCCCAATGGTATTAACAACCATGTACTACAACAAAATGAAACTCACTTGCTGGTTGTGTACATTAGTTGATGGGCGCTTTTGAAACACTAACAGCTTAATGAACTTGAAATCTTTTGTTTCTTTGTTTCAGAGCTTGTGTCGAACTGGCTACATCACAAAATTTCAGCGAATGAGGCTTTGCTGGGCAAAACAGATGATCTTATTACTGGCCTTGGGGTTCTTTGGTCATACTGTTTTAAATCTTGCGTTAGAGACTTTTCAAAGTACAGATGCTTCACCACTAGATTTCATTGATCGGGCTCTTTTTAAATTATTTAAATTAATTTTAATACATATGTGTGCATAATACAAAAAAAATAAAATAAATAAGTAATTGCTTAGTTTGCCAAGCCCTACCCAATAACTTAAAATAAGCACTACACATTTACAAAAAAATTACAAAACATTTATATTTAATGGTATTTAATTACTTGTAGGTTACATTTAATAGATAATCCATAAAAACATTTGTAAAACATGTAATTATGCATGTTTGGGCTGACATTTACTCTGTTTTGACCAGAAGGTGTGCTTCGAAACTGAATCATTTTGTGAAGCAATTGATTCCAGTTGATTCAAAGTTTCAAAAAGCGTTTTCCTCATAAGTAGTGTACATTGTACATATCCGCCACAGTTAAAGTTTCACTAATTACACAAATTTGCATTCAGTCCATGATTTGAATCAGTCGTTGATTCAGGCTGTGTTTGATTCGGTTGGATTCACCAGCTGGTTAGTCTTTAAAAAGAACTGCAGAGCAAATTGACCAGCACATCATTCTGTATGTTTTCTGCATGCAGTCAGTAGACAACACAATATAATGTAGTTTTCACATAGAATTCACAAACCGACAGCTTATAATAATGTGAAGTCATTTACATTGCTGAATATTGCAGACTGTGTGCACAAACAGAACTCAATGAGCAAACTATTGAGAATCACATCAAATTCAACATCAAAAAATCTAGACGTTGATTGTAGTGAAAACTATTTTAAAAATAATTACCAAAAAAAAAAAATTGCGGTTTCCCACATTTTGCATCTTACAATATTTCCCCCTTTACAAATATTCACATTTACAAATAAAATACCTAAATATTTTAAATTGGTACAAGTAATTTTAAATACATAAATATATATATCCTTAACTTATAGGAAATGTTAAAGATTGTTGGTCCTAAACTAGCTTGCAACTACTTGAAAACATTGATTTGTTTCTATTTATCTTTGTTTCATACATTTGATTTTAATTCTATTATTTAAGCTTGTGATATGGAGTGTGTTAGTAAGACCTTCCAGTTCTAACAGCAAAAACACAAGGGGGCAGCACTTCAACAGAATCTTCTTCAGAATCATCAGCTGTTTTAGTGAATGGACAGTTCTCAGTGAAAGTAGGTGCTTAACCTTTAGAATATATACTGTATTGTTCATCCGTTAAATACGTAAAACCAACGGTCCGTTAGACCAAATACTAAATAAGCTGTTATATTGTCCTACTTATTAAATGAGGTTTGCAACCTTATTACTTATATTTGCGTCTAAATGACATTGATATTCGTGCCAGAATGAGTAACGGGGATGCAGAGGGATAGTTCAAAATGTTGTTTGATAACCCTCATGTTGTTCTAAACCTGACTCACTTTCTTATGTGTAACACAAAATATATATTTTTTTATCCATACAATGGAAGTCAACGATCACCAAAACGTCCAATGCGAAATCTTTTTTCACAGGTTGGGATGAAATGAGTGCGTAAATGACAATTTATTTTTGTGTGAACTACTGTTTAGTACTAGTAGTACATTCGTGACTAAATGTTGGTTTGTTACTAAAACAAAAAAGGTACCAAATACAACAGATGATCAATTATAACACTATTTTTAAGATTCATTCAGTTAGTAGGATAACCAAAAAAAAAAAAACTTGATTTACATCATGCGTGTGCTGGAAATGAAACAAATCATATCAGGTTCATTTGATTTATTCACCAGTAAATGAATGTAAAGTAAACACATACCTCATCGTGTAAGGCAGTAAAAAGGCCACTTACAGGGGAAAGAATTAAAAACAAACTTCCAGAGATCACTTTCAGGACAGATTGCCATAAAGCATTCATTCTCAACCTCAGCAGTTCTGTGGTTTACATACATCAGATCACTCAATGTACAGAACACAACATCCACACGTGCCATAATCCAAAATACAAACCATCACAGAAAGTAGTGAGAAAATGAGTTGTTTATATATATAAAAAATAACCACGTCTATCTGATCACTTCCTCATATATTCCTCAAAACTGTGGGGAATTTACTTTTGATTAGAGCAGTGGAAATCTTCGGATGCTTATTTTGTTCTCAAAAACAAAATAATATTAGAAGCAAATCAATATTTCAAGATCTTCAATGTAATACTGACCTCTAAACAATCCCTCCTGCAAGCATGGAAAACTGTACAGATCTTCTCCACACTTGCCTTTGAAAACTGAGTCACAGAATTAAAAACGAATCAACGAAACAATCCTTGTAAAACAGCTGGCTCCATCTAAACCTCGAAGAATTCCTTAAATAGCAGCTAAATTAAAACCCAAAGGAATGTCGATGAATCCAGACTCGCGTCTTTGCTATAACAAAATGTGGCCGTCATCATTATCGATCGACTTTTCTCATCCATCTCTGATACAATGAGCAGCATTTACAGTAGGACCACGAGTGATTTCACAGTAGGTGAACTGATTGGTTTACGTCACTCTTCTAGACGATTTACAGGACACAGACGAACAGTTCTAGATCAGACAGAGAGTAAATGTGTGTGTGTCGTGTTACTGGAGTCGTACGAGCCGCATTCAGTCAAACACATATGAGCGGGGGTGGATGCTGCTTTAGGCTTTTTTCTCTTGCAGGATTCGATGCAGCTCGTCTGCGTCCTCTGCCGTTTTCACGCGTATGAGCATTGGGACAGGCGTGCTGGGGTTCTTGTCATCCACAGGAGGGTTTGGCACACACACCACCATCACGTTGTTTTTGCCAGTTCGTGAGCAGGGCATGGAAGAGGGCACCATAATGTTCAAAAAGATGTTCCCTATAAAAAAAACCAGAGAAGCCAGTAAGCACACATACATACATCCATCTTATGCCATGTGAAGTTTTGTAGTACAAACTAAAACTGCATAACTTTAGGCCAGTATTTTTCCTTATATTTTAAATATAAAGTGCCAATTTTGATCAACTGAATGTGTCCTTGAAGTAATATTTTTGTCTTTTTCTCAAATCTTACTTACCCTAAACATCTTAACGGCAGTTTATCATGGTTTCCACAAAAATATTAAACAGCAAAAACTGTTTTCAGTATTGATGATACAGTTTCTTGAGCACCAAATCAGCATATTAGAATGTTTAGGGTGCACTTTCATGACAACTCTGTGTCAACAATACCTGCCGATTATTTAAACTAGTTAAACTAGTTGACTGCATTTCATGAAATGGCCTGCAGGGGGGATCCAGATTTCCTCTAATAATTTGATCTCTGTTAATCAAACACACCTTGTGTGCCTTATGTCTAACAACTGCAACTCTATTTGATAAAACAGATAAAATGGCATTGATAACTGTGATTACCTCTCATGACTATATCAATTGTAAAATCTCAATTTACACGCTGTTCAAAAGCATGGGATCAGTAAGATTTCTAATGTTTTTGAGTCTCATGCTCATCAAGGCTGTATTAGATCAAAAATACAGAAAAAACTGTATTATTTGTTTAATATTATATATTATTTAACAAACAC